GCCTGGATCCTGCCAACAAACCCCTCGGCCTTCTCAGCAGCCGGCCCCGTCAGTGCATTTGGGAAGGAAACATCCCCGGGTTGCCCGAGGTCCCTTGGCTGCCCGCCCAGCGCTGCAGAAGGGCTCAGGCCCCCGGACTCCTGCTCTGCTGGGGGAAGAAAGGTCTCAGGAGTGAAACAGCAGGCTGCCCAGGGCAGGTTGCAGAAACTAGATATTCTTGGATGCCTCTCTCTGAACCTCAAAGAATGCTGGGCTTCTCTTCCAGCCAGAGCTGAGCACAGAGGCCTCCTGCCTCTGTAGGGCAGGGTGGGGTTAGCAGTCAGACCTGAGATGTTTGTCCTGAGACTCGGGCCGTGTGGGAAGGGAACATACTGCACACGGCCAGAGCCTGGGTCCCTCCCTCCTCCATCTGATCCCTCCGCTGTGAGATGAGGGTTCTGGGTTAGGAGAGCTTGCAGTTGCTCCAGCCCCTTCAAAGAACCAGGGCTTGGGTGGAAGAGGGCTTTGGAGCCATGAGTATGGACACCAGGCCCGGCACCGTGTGACCAGAGCACCTCACTGTGGAGGAAAAAGTCCCCTTGAGCCACACTCCACCCAGACAGACCCAGAAAGGCTGCAGTCTGTCTGGCTATGGAGGGTGTCTTCAACCTGCTTTTGCACGTGGGAGGACTTGAGATGCTGGAAACTCACTTCAACCCCAGCAGCGGAGCCATCCCGGGACCAGCCACTTAGCCTGGGGAAGCCGCTGCTTCCCTCCACTCGCATTGTTGCCCCTCCCCGGGGCGATGGGCCCTCAAACCGCCAGCCTTCTCTCTCCCTCTCATCCTGTCCAGGCGGCCCTGCGAGTTTCAGAAGGGTCCCCTGCCCTCAAAGGCAACGCCCGTTGAACGTGAATGAAGGAGCCGGGCGGAGGTGCTTACTCTGCATGGGCAGGGCCGCCCAGCCAGTGCACCGGCTCCGGGGTGCACGGTGTCAGTGCTGTCAGAGCTCCGAGGGGGGTTTCTACGACCCCCACCACCACCACCGAGGGCTGGGGGAGCCCCGTGCTTTAGCTTTCTGTAAAAAGGGACACTTGAAGATATAATGGATACAAGAAAGACGGAACTGTTCTAAAATTAACGGTGGTGATACACGCACCACTCTCTTTAATGCACTGAAATCACTGAGTTGTAGGATGTGTCAGTTACACGTCAACACTCGTCGTTGTTCTGTTTGGGTTTTTTAAAAGGACACTTGATGTCATCACTTCTCTTGGGGCCCGGTCCTTGGAGGGAACTGTTGCCCCCTGTCGTTATCGACAGAGGACAGCTAGGGCTCCTCTTCCAGGAAGCCCTCTGGGACAGCACCAGACTGGACCTCTTCCCCCTCCTCCCCTCTAGTCCCTTACGCTCCAGGCTCTGGCTGCTTCCCAGCACTCGGTGCGTCGCTTGGCGACTGTCCTTGGCACAGTTCCCTGGATGGCACCCTGAGTGCCAGCACCTCCTGCTCTGGGTGCTCCCAGCCCCGAAGCGAGTGTGGTCACCACACCTTGGTTTGGGCATTTGCTCTGATTTCTTTTCCCAAACTTCCTCTTTCTTCCCAAAACCGAAATGCAGTTCTGAGTATCGATCTAATCTCTACATGAAGAAGTGAGAAAGCGCCTGTAATCCCAGGTGCTCAGAGATACCTGTGGGGTCACGGGTCCCCCAGGCTCAGTGTGTGTGTGTGAATACACAAGCACGCACATTTGTTTTACGGCAGAGAGATTATACTTTGCCCTTTTTCAGAATTCACTTAACATCCCTTGGATGGTCCGCCAAGTAAATAAACCCAAGGCTGGGCCCCTCGTGTGTAGCATCCTGTTTTCTGTTTGAGACGTCATTTATAGAAAGGATCCCCTCTTCAGGAACCCTGGTACCGTGGTAAAGTGCCTGCGTAGGAACCAAAGGCCAGCAGTTTGAACTCACCAGCTGTTCAGTGGGAGGGCAGAGCTGGCAGTCCGTCCCTGTAAATACTTCACCCTGGGGCAGTTCAACTCTGCCCGCGGGGGCAGAGGCGCTGTGAGTCGGCAAAGACTGACGGTGTACAGGGACATTGCCAGACTTGGGGGATGGGGGAGTTCCGCTTTTTCCCATCACCTGTGGTTCCACACTAACATCTTCCTGGCTGATTGTTGAGTAACTTACTTTTTTGCCTTAGAATAACCCCTGTGTATAAAGATTTTTGCAGACCAAACGCCGCAGCACCTGCCGGGCACTGAGCAAGGCTCCTGGGCCCGGTGGTTCGTGGGGTGGGGGTGGGAAGGATCAGCATGACCCTGGTTTTCTGTGCTTGCAGGGGGGCTCAGTGGGGCGACCGTCATCGACTCCCTGGACACGCTCTACCTCATGGAGCTGGAGGAGGAGTTCCAGGAGGCCAAGGCCTGGGTGAAAGAGCACTTCAACCTGAACGTGGTAAGTCCCCGGGGCTGGAGGAGGAGTTCCAGGAGGCCAAGGCCTGGGTGAAAGAGCACTTCAACCTGAACGTGGTAAGTCCCCAGGTCAGCCCCACCTGTCAGCTCTGGGGCGCCAGCGGGTACCAAGCAGAGCTGGCCATAACCCAGGGCTTCGGTGCCCTCTACTCCAGTTGGTCCTCGAGTACTGACCAGCCTGGTCCCTCCCCTGGGGGGGGGGACAGCCACCACTCCTCCAAGGCACGTGGCTCACACCCAGCAAGCCCCTTCCAGGGCTGCAGCTGGCTCATTGCCGCTCCACCACCCCCTCCGAGATGGGGCGGGGCGCACCTGGTTCGAACCTCATGAGCAGGCTTGAGGTCTCCATGTTTTCCAGCCATGTGGCTATCCTCGGTCAAGGACAGGGGCCTGGTGGAGAGGGTGGTGGAACTACACTCTGATGTCACAAAGGCTTGCATGCGGACCTCAGAGGTCTCGGCTCGCCAGAGAGAGGCTGTTTTGAGAGGTGTGAGGGGTGAGCATTAGGGGTAGGCGGGAGGGCAGGCAGGCATAGTAAACAGGACGCAGGGCCCTGCCCACCTGCACCAGCCACAGCCCTGCCAGGCTGGACTGGCAGCGATGGCAGTGGCTAATTCCCAGGCATGTTGTGAGGGTTAAACACTCGGGGGTGTTGCCAAAAGTACTTTATTGCCTGTGCGTTCGTAAGAGGCGTCATGCTGGTTATAAAGGTCATTGCCATTCTGATGGAGTGAGGCGAAGGCATTCTGAATCCGCCCATTACCCACTCCCGTGGGGTCGTTAGAGGGGGAGGGGCAGCAAGAGGGGTCTGCACAGGACCCTCTGTCCCCTTTGCAGACATCACCCCTCTGGTTGGAGAGGGGAGCGAGGCGGTGGCAGGGCCAGGGGAGGGAGCCCAGGGGCGTTCAGGCAGACTGGAAGGCGAGGCAGTCTCCTTAGGATGTCTTCCCAAAAACCAACCAACGTCCAGTCCAAACAGTGGCTTCTGAGGGATCTGCTGAGCCAGTTCAAGACAGGGGAGCTCGGGAGGTCACGGGACTGCTTTCTGGGAGGATAATCTTCATCGGTGTCCTTGACAGACACAGGACAGCCGCAGGGACTCATTAGGAGGACATTTTGAGGAGACGGAAAACTGCATTGGTGAGAAAAAGGCCAGGAATTCTTTTTCCCTCACCACCGTGCGCACGCCCAGGCTGCAAGGGTGGCAAGAACTTCCCTGCAGAATCGCCCGGAGAAGCCTCGCCCCCCACCCTGCAACCCTGAAGTTGCCCTCAACACATTAGTTGCCCAAGTGCCAAGCACAGTGGAAAGGGGCACGGTGTGAGTCCCTGCAGGGTGGTCAGACGCGTGTTTGGCGTAGTGCAAACCACAGAATTCTACAGGGAAGAGTCCGAGAGATGGAAACTCCGCCTTCAGAAGTGGAGAGCCCAAGGGGAAGGATCGGTCGAGAAACAAAGCTTCGCATGGTGATGGTTTTTAAAATAAGGACCTCGGATTGTATAGTAATGTACATTCACCCTCGTACATTGACAGTTTTTTTGAAAAGGTACTTTGTCGGTGGAAAAGTTTCTCCCAGATAAAAGGATTGATATTGCTGTTATCAGTAATAAAAGGCCGTGCTGTGGGAGGCATCCAGGGGGCAGTGACAGGCCCGTTTATTGGACCACACATTTCACAGGCACCTCCTCCCTCCTCTCTGGCGGGAGGCCCTGTTGTCCCGTGTGCCACGGGGGCTGAGGCTCCGCGTGCATCTTTCCCGAAGCTGCGTGAGTGTTTCAGGTGGGGTTTTAACCTGGCTCTGTGGCTTGGCACGATGCCCAGACACCCCTGATTTACAATCCGGACTTAAGAAAGAAAATAACGATGATTAAGGGTGTGCCCGAGGGCGAGAGCGCTGATGGCCTGGGAGACTGCTGACGGTGGTCAAGTGTCTGCCTGGCACTGCGCCCCCCCTTAACCCAAGCCCAGGCCCTGCCCTCCCCAGAGCCGCCTCTGAGAGCCCGCCCCCTGCCCTGTTGCCCCCGAGGGAGGGTCCTGCTGTGTCACTGGGGTGGGGTGGCGCTGGACCAGAGGAGGGTTTGCGTCTTGAGGGCTAAGCTCCTGCCAGCAGCAGCTCCCACACGGGTTTGGAGCTGAGCCAGCCTGCGTTTTCCCCGCTGGCCCCTGGCTAAGGCTGGGGCCGGGAGCCAAGCCTGGCATGTACTTGGGACGCTGCCATCTTTTGTTCCCGATGCCCTGCCGCAGGGCACAGGATCGGGATGAGGTGCCCTGGTCCCAAGGGCCTGGCTGTCTCTGGGAGCCCTGCGGGCATCTCACAAGCTCCAGCTCCCCTGACTTGCTTCCTTCCTTCTGCCCTGCAGAGTGGAGAGGCATCCTTGTTTGAGGTGAACATCCGCTACATTGGAGGACTCCTTTCAGCCTTCTACCTGACGGGAGACGAGGTAAGTGCCGGCCTGGACTGCCCTGGCTGGAAGGGGCCTTGGGGTCCGTCAGTCCATCTGTCC